TCACCTTTATTTTTATAGATTGGCACTAAAATACTCTTTCTCCACTCATCTGGCATGTTCTTAGTCAACAAAATTTTGCTAAACAACCTAGTTAACCAAGCAACTCCCTTTTTACCTAAACACTTCCAAGCTTCAATAGGGATATCATCGGGTCCTAAAGCCTTATTTGATTTCATCTTCTTAAGTGCAATCTCCACTTCAAAATTTCTAATCCTGCGATAGAACCTATAGTCTTGATTTATCGTATTATTGATTATTTCTTCCCCTATTGTCGTACTTCCATGTTCCTCATTTAACAGTTTCTCAAAATAATTCTTCCATTTTTCCTTAATCTCATCATCCTTCACCAATTCCTTAGAATCCTCACTCTTGATGCACTTTACTTGATTAAAATCTCTTGTTTTCCTCTCCCGTATCTTAGCAAGTTTGTATACCCTTTTCTCTCCCTCCTTACTATCTAGTCTAGTGTATAGGTCATCATAAACTTTTAACTTAATCTCTCTCACTACTTTCTTGACCTCCTTATTAGCCAATCTATAGCTCTTAAGGTTTTCCTCAGTTCTATCCTTCTGCCACTTTTTAAAGCACTCTTTTTTTGCCTTAACTACCGCTTGGACCTCTTCCCTCCACCACCAAGTTTCCCTAGAGCTGGGTCCCGTTCCTTTCGACTCTCCAAGCACTTCCCTTGAGATTCTCCTCATACAATTGGCCATCGAATTCCACATAGTGTTAGCATCACCTTCTAAGTCCCAAGTACCTTCTTTATCCATTCGATTCTTAAATATTTCTAGTTTATCCCCTTTTAAGTCCCACCATCTCGTCCTACGACGCCCACCATCCTTCCTAGCTTGGTATTGCCCTCTAAAACATAAATCTAGTATCAAAATCCTATGTTGAGAGACCAGACTCTCTCCAGGAATCACCTTACAATCATTGCATTTTAGGCAGTCCACTTTTCTCACTAAGAAATAATCTATTTGGCTCTTAACTAATCCACTCTTAAAGGTTATCAAATGCTCCTCCCTCTTCTTATACATAGTATTGGCCACCACCAGGTCAGAAGCCAACGCAAAATCTAAGATTCTCTCACCCGCCTCATTTCTGTCACCAAAACCGTATCCACCATGCACCCTTTCATAACCTACTTTATCTATGCCCACATGGCCATTAAAATCTCCACCTATAACCAGGTTCTCTCCTACGGGTATCTCCTGTAAGATCTCATCCATTTGCTCCCAAAAATCCCTCTTAGTCTGATCATCTAACCCTACTTGAGGGGCGTAAGCGCTAATACTGTTCACTATATTCCCTCCAATAACTAATTTAACTAGCATAATCCTATCTCCTTTCCTAATGACCGCCACCACACTTTCCACAAGACCCTTGGCAATTATGATTCCTACCCCATTCCTGCGTCTATCCTTACCACTATAATAAAGTTTAAAACCAGTATCCTCAATTTCCCTAGCTTTCTCTCCCGTCCACTTAGTTTCTTGTATGCAAGCTATACTAACTCTCCTCCTAATCATAACATCTACCAATTCCATCGACCTACCAGTTAAGGTTCCTATGTTCCAAGTGGCTATCTTAAACCTATAGTCTTGGACTAGCTTCTTTACCCACGCTCGTCCAGGAAAACGCGGAAACCTTTGCCCATTTTTCACCGCACCCAAGCGTCGATGCGGCGCCCCTTGCTCACTTTTCGAAACACCCGGAGGCAGGCGCAACGTGTCACTTGAGGGGAACGACCTAGCATTTAAACGATTCAAAGTAGGATTCATTTTCATAAGGGATCCGAGCGGCTTTTTTTACGTGTTGGCTGTCGGCTACCTAACACACAACCCTCCTCCTTAACCCGGGCTTGGGACCGGCAGAGTTGTTAACAACCCTCGCTGTTACTTGTTATGGGAGGGAAAAAATTCAATGTTGTGATCAATGTGTATCCCCTCTACATTGAACTTCTGGCTCCGCCACTGCGTGTACAGTAGAATTTCCCTAAAAAAAAAATTAGAATCTTAATCCTCTAGATTGATTTTTGGTAGGGTGAATTTAGAATGATTATTGGTATGATTGAAATTTAATTCTACAAAAATTGAAAGTATAATAATACTAAGTTGCTGGTACAATCCTATTGATAATCACTTTTAAAAAAAAAATTCAACTATACAAAAAATCACTCTAAAACTACTATACGAAAATTTACTCTAGAGGATGTGGACTCGGATAAGTAAAGTCTTTTGAACCCACTTCAAAGAGTAATAATTTGGTAGTCTCCATACAATTTATTACTTGACATTCCAATTATTATTTAAAAACTTAACTAAAAGTATTAGATGAAATACTATGGTAGAATGTGTATTATATGTAAGTTATGTTGTTTATGAGTTTGATCATCGCAAATAGCATAACTCAATACTATGCGAGTCATAAGTTAAAAAAATTGAGTTATAACTAAATCTCACGTCAGGTATTACCAAACAATTCTTAAATCAAAACCAAAATTTTGTCATAACCAATATCATAATGTGTCATAACTAACAATACAGTAAGTTATAACCATTAATTCAAAATTCATAACTAAAGATGCATATAGTAAACACACTACCATAGAATTTCTCAAATATTAAATCTTATTGTTTTAACCAATAAATATAAGTTGGGACGTTACATGACTTTGCGCCAGAAGCAAAAAAACAATTTCTCCACTTCAAGACCACAAACTTGAGATACATGCAACTACTCATTAGCCTTATATATATCGAGCAATGTAAAATATCAAAATCCAAACCTAGGATCTTTGGGATAGAATCTGAACAACTTATCATTTGAGTTAACTCTAATTGATGCAAATTAAATTAGTTCATTTAGAATTAATCAAATGAAATTGTATATGAGTTAAAACAATTAAACAAGACTTGATTGATAAAATGTTCTCTTATCACTGTAATTCTCGAGTTCAAAGCAACGTACAAACACAATGAAATTAAAAAAAAAAAAAAAAAATTTAATATAATCTGGATTTTAAGGGGATAAAACTTGTATTCCATGTAGAGAGGGTTTTTATGAAAAGGAAGTGCATACTGTAGAGTTTTTTTCTTAATTTATGGAGGTGCATATCGTAGAGGTGAATTCCAGGTTACTTCCAACTTGCATCTAATGCGGCATGCTTGAACTCTAATAATTCATTTTGTTAATGCTTTTGATAATCAAAGATTAATCAATCCTAAATTTAAACAACCAACCGATCAAAACTCATTTATGCCAGCCCTACATAGACGTTAGTGGTTAAAGGATATACAATCATTTACTGCTCTATTAACCAATGCTACGATATTTGTTAGTTAAAAAACAATTTAAAAAATAAAATTAAAAAAAAAAACTTTCGAAACAGCCTTCAAAAGAATTCCAGATATCAAACAATAGATTAATGCAAGTGGCCTAAAACTACATACTTTCCATTTGCAAATAGCTCTATAGCTCGTACTAATGTTGTGTTTGGAACTAAGATTTGAGAAGATTTACTAAGGGAAACAAAATTCAAAAATTTAAATTCTATTTTATTTATTTTTCCTTTGCTTCTTTGATTCCGTAAATCCTTAAACCAGACACAACCTTAAAGTTGCCCCACATAAGTGCATCACTTGACACTGGATAACTATGGTGCAGCAAGAGTTCGTGAGCAGAGACAAGTAGCAACAAAACAATAGATTCAGTAGACAAAAAGAAGGAAACAAGTATACAAGAAAAAATTGGCATAATTAAAAAAACTGCCATACACTGTACAGTATGCATGTATATTAACACCTTATCAACTTGAATATTCAAATGCAATCTTTCACTTCGTAACTTCATTTCATGACAACCTTTTGACATGTGACATTTTTATCTACAGAGTACATTATGTATACCCTTTATGCAATATTCTCAACCGAATCCGAACCCTTCGTTTGCTTCATGAATAGCAAGCAGCAGTCTCTCCTCTAGATGTTGTTTAGAAGGATACTCCGGTAGATCCAACTGGTTGAAACTGCATATATATATCATAAATAAGAAGAAATTCAGTAAACTTCCACGGTCGCTTGTGAACTGAAGATTATCAACCAAAGTACAGTACTAATAAACAAGTAACTACGAAGAAACAATTATGATTGGAATATGATACCAAGTATGAGCTGAAGGCAAGTGATCAGGGCTGCCATAGGCCTTGTGAATCTGGAACTTCTGTGAGCCTGAGATCCCTTGTAATGCGCTGAATCCTTCTAAAGGTACCTGCATGAATACAACATTGCTTAAACAATGAATCCTTTAACAGTTCAGTCTGAACTGCTCAAAACCTCTAGTCTCAATCTCTTATGAATATGTTTCATCATAAAATGGCACAAATTAATACATCATGAGAAATAATTTGAAGGTTGAAATGAGCTTTTAATGAGCAACTGTTAAACACAAAGCAGTAAACGTTGGATTTTATGGAGACAAATAGGCGGGTTCACCCATCTTTTTATGGGTCGACAGGTCATTCCTTGGGTTGACTGAAACATCGGGGCTAAAGTTCCTTGACTGTCAATCAAGACATGGGGACACACCAATACAAATATATAAAAAAAATGCTTTTCTGTATACACAATCCATTTGGGCAGTTATCCTTGAAGTTCTTATTTTCTTGTAAAAATTTAAAAGTTGGTGGACATTACTTCAGTTTTTATATACATCACATGCACACCCCGTCCCAACAAAGAGAAAAGACAAAAAATGTGCATTAGCAAAAGTAGGCTAACAAAATAAGGTGTATGAAAAATATAACCAATAGAGGCTTTCATGAAACATTAAAAGCTTTGGAAAATCAGTGTCAAAGAGGTTTTACATTTTCTTACAACCCAAAACATAAATAAATATAAGGCTGTTTACTAACGTCATTAAAAAGATGTCAGGCTGGGCTTCCTGAATTAGAGTCATAAGAAGAGAAGAATTTTTAAATTGGTATGGAGTTCTAATTTTTTTTCAGTAGGTAAATGGTGGATATATGGAAATTGAAGCTGATATAAATACAATTTGCAGGCTACTCACTAAAACACACCATGGCATAGCCAGCAAAAACTGCAACCATGTTCACCCTACATTCATGGTTTTTATTCTAAAATATTGTGGTCTACTACTTATGAAAGAAATTGACTATTTGACACTACAAAAAAGTAGGGAGAAGTTGCTCTCTAGCTTTATAACATCATTTAAGGATAAAGTTGTCCTTTCATAATGTTCTTAGAATTGTGAACAGCTTCGCAGAACTGTTTTTTGACCAATAAGACAGCTTACATACAAGCCATGGCAATTTGAATTCAAATTTCAAACATGCTGATATAAGTCTCTACTATGACTCAATTCTGGGTTGTTTCCCTACTACGTATTTTCAGATTTAGTTACAGTTCAGTTCATATATTATAAAAGAAAAAAAATTTAAATTTACTTCAAAGTATCACGCACAACTGAGGGATACAAAAAAAACACTACAGAAACATACCTTTGAGGTGCCAGTCACAAACTGCAGAAGACGAGCCTTATCTTCCTTGCTGAAACTTTGAACCACTTCCCAAAACCATTGGATGACAGGAGATGCAGCGCTATACCCAGAGTACTCCGTATTCACCCTCATGTCGTCCACTGAAAAACAATGATATTATTAGAAAAAAGTATCCCTTAACTTCCCTGGGATTGACAAATGAAAAGTAAAAATAATCAATTTAACAAAAGCAAACTCACAGTCTATATCTGGAAGCCCACTAATTAATAGTTCCAGTTCCTTATCATTAAAAATAGATATCAAATCACGATGTATTAGGTCATTAAATCCTTCCAAAAATGCAGTTATTTGAGGACGAATAGCAGTAGTCAAACGATGTTCAGCAACTAAATCAACATATTCATGCTTGTTTTCCTCAGTAACTCGAATGTTCCTTCCACCAGGGATCAGTTCATAGTCAGTCACCTGCATTATGTAAATCAAAATTTTAAATATGACAAACAATTGTTGAACAAAATAATCATCTCATGGAGTTGAGGGAATTCATTACCTCTGTCTTCTCATACAATATCCGTTTCTCTTCATCAGCATCAATGCTAAAAGTAAGGTCCAAAACATCAGTGGTATTGTTCTGCAAAAGTAAACAAGGCACTGAGGACAAATGTTTGGTGGACCTCGGCAAAGGAAACAGTGATATATATATATATATATATATTGTGTGCGCGTGTGCATGCGACATTCCAGTGTGCAACATACCTCAAGCATCCACTTCAGGTTTTTAAAGTAATCAGGATCTATAGCTTCAATGTCATGGTAAGTCACTTTAACCCCGAGGATATGCTTGTAGAAGGATCGAGTAAAATGAACATCAAGAAGTTGTCCATCAAAAAGTGCTTTCCCAACCTGAAACATATAGGCAAAGACATAAGCAAGAAGCATATAGTTAGCAACTTCACCAAGCAACCATGAATGAAAAGATACTCACAACTCGCCCAACAAATTTAAAGTACGAGAGATGTTCCGTTTGGTAAACGGAGTTGGGATTTGGCTGAAATGTCGATTCATTGCCAACAGTTGTAAATAGTAGTGCACCCTTGTCAAAGATAACCCTGGACAACAACTGATACCATTCCCTGGTAAGTCCACCTGCATCAATACCTTCCTCTCCTTGGAAATGAACATTCAACCTCCCCTTCAAATCCTGTGTCAACCTCATGCGCAGTTGATTATATGAATCTTCCAGAATGTAAGCTCTTCTCACAGAAATCCTTAAAGGGCTGTGATGATGATCATGTTGGTGCTTTATCTTAGATCTAAAGTGTGCACGTTTGTTGTCAAAATCAATAAAGCGTGGAACCTTCAGCATGAGTGAGAAAGACTTCTCAAGCAACCCAGGGTTTTGCCGGATGAAAGAATTTAAGAGCTTCCGATGCTTCTCTGAGAACTTCACAAAAGCAAGGTGTTTTTCATCTGCTTTCAAAGCAGGCCCTGAAGTTTTCTGCAGGCTTGTAGAAGTGGTGGCATCTTCAACATTAGAAACTAGAGCATTACCAAGGTCCTGGTTCACAACTGACTGCCCAGGTTGCAACTTCTCACAAATCACAAAGAAAGATTCTATGTATGGCAAGATGTTCTGAGTACCAGCAGGAAGTGGAGGCATTACACCAGATGGTTTATATGATGAAATCACAGATTTATTTGATAAATCGGGTGGCAAATCTGAATAGCCTTCTACTTTGCTTATACAAGCACTCAACTCCAGCCACAAAGGCTCCAAAGCTGCACTGATATCATATACCAAAGAAATAGCAGCAGTGTATTCCTTTTCAGATAGAATTTGATGATCCTTATCTTTCTCAGAAATTGAGGCAACGAGCGAGCTTAATGCCTGCAAGACCCTCAAAATTGCGGCACCACCAGATGATATAGTAGTGAGTAGTTCTTTTTCTGCTTCTCCAAAAATGCGCAACTCATCCATTGCAGACTTGGTCAAATTTTGCATAGAATCTGCTAGCTCAGTGATAAGCAGGCGACAGTGAGTTGGAGCAATTGCAACCAACTTCTTCAACACCTCTGCTGCCATAGTATATGCATTATCTGACAGGCTGGGAAGAAATGAAATATTAGAAAGGGATAAGAGTCAAGAAGAAACTTGAACAAATTAATCCAAGAAATCCAGGAGTTCAATATTCCCAAGAAGCTAAGAAGGATGGGCCAGATTAGAGCTAGTTAGAGAGCCAAAAATGGGGGGAACTCATCAAATAAGTGCAGGAACCATATCACACAAGCTCATGAGCACATAATGACCAGGTCAATATATATATATATATAAGAGAATGGCCAGGTAAAAATTAAATAAATAAAATTTAAAGAACATACAATAAAAAGGTACATAATTAAACAATTGTTTTTGGTTAGTAAGAATTTAATTACCAAAAAAGAAAATGTAAAATGAAACTCGAGAAAAAATCAAAAGGCTTGGGCAACAAAAACACAACACCTATTATACATTAAAAAATCTCTCACATCATGAGAGGCTTGGGCATATGCCAAAGGCTGTAACACCTATTCTACATAAACACACCAAATCTCTGCTAAAATAGGAACCACAAATATTGGCCAATGCCCAAATCACACTTCCTTCAATGAAATTTCAATAAAAACACAACCAGAAACATTAAAAAGGATGCATGGGTATGTTTTTGTGACACTTCACAAATACAAGTAGATGATGATGCCAGTAGCAACATCACAATCCACTAGACAAAAATGGGCAGAAAGTTTCCTGCTACAAAAAATCAATGCTTTGCATCTTGTACAACAAGACGTGTGGGATGGAGATGCACACACACACATACACTTGCCAAGCAAGCATGTGAAACAATCTCCATCTTCAACCATGAACCAAATTCTCCACGTACAAACCAGATTCGAGCTCCAACCACAACAAACCGCTCCACCTTAAGATAAAATGCCAACCACATAAGAGAAACAAAAGTAAACTGCCAGGAACATTCTCCATAAGCTCAACTATGGCAGAAAAACTCACCTATATATGAGTGCAAACAACATAGAGAAACCCACAGAAAAATTGGCTTTCACATCTGCTTCACCCATCAACCAGCATCCATATAAAAGCATGCGGGAAGTGAGAGCTCAAAACAAAGATCAACCCTCATGAACCAACTTACCTCCCGCATAAGAGAAACCGAAACCAGAATAGACTGCGGAGAACTCAAAATCAACACATCACAAATGCACACCCATCTATCATCAAAGTCCCACGAATCCACATTATACCAACTAGCAACTAAAAAGTGATGAGGGCAACCATGACACGAACGGTTAAGCCAAAAAGGAGTAACTTGAGTATTTCTCTACAGCTCACAGTAGATCCACCCATAATAAAGAGAGAGAGCTACTAGAGTAAGATCTATGTTACATGGACTCTTCTGAATTTTTGAAGTGCCTGTTTTGAATACTCAACACTTTGGGTAAGGTTATGGAATAGGTTTCCGATGTGCTTAGTTGGAGAAACACCCAATAAGTATGTATAAGTAACCGCATTTATTCTATAACTACGCATAAAACTTCTATTTTATTCATCATTTTTACCCTTAAAATATTAGTAAGTACGTAAGAAAGAATTTTGATAATGAGTGGCACCCTTTAACAAGCTTGAAATGAGTGTACATTTTTAATAAAAGCGCGCATTGTAAAGCAATATAATATAGAAGACCAAAAAAAATTTAGATGTGGAGCAATAAAGTCAATACCCCTCTCTTGCAAGCAGTGAGCATAGAAGTCGAAGTTCTGCTTGTGGTAGATTATCTAGTACATTTTGAGTATCACACTCCGCATTTGCACTAGAAGCAGAGGGTTTGGAGTCGTCATTGGGCTTAGATGCTGTAATGTCAGAGCCAGAGGATATGGCACTAGAGACTGTATTTATATCAGCAACTGACGTGGAAATATGAGGACCAGATGTTTGTTCCGCAGCAGGTATGCCAGATTCATTAGATAAACTAGACTTGCTTTCAGCATTATCCACGATTACATCCAACAAACTTAGTAGCTGAAACAAGAATCCCATATGGAAAGACGACCAACAAAACCAAGTTAGTGTATTAGAGAATTAATTAATGCAAAGAAAGTACAACTTTGTGTAAACCATCACCTGTTCAAGATGTGCTATACTCCTCAAATATAGGGGCTGGCTCAAAAGGCTCAAAAGCATCACAATGGAAAAGTATCCTTCCAGATGGTTCTTTCCTTCCATCACATCCTCTTCAACAATCATCAGAGCTTTGCCACGTGCCTTATCAAGATTTTCTGACTCTTGTAAGAGTGGCTGAGGCAGCTTAAATTGAAGCAATATCTTTGCCACATAAGGATGATTGCGAGCCAAGTAGGTCAAAGTCTCAAGAATACGCCGAGACACCAGAGGAGGGAGACCTATGAAGGGTACATGGAACTATTTAGCACTTCAGGAAAAAACTAAGAGTATGTTTGGTATGATGGACTGAAATGAAGTCGGAATGGAATGAGAG